AATGTGGATTGAGATGAATACATGCGCATCCAAACAAGGCTTAAGTGGGCTATGGATTATTAAAGTTCCTCCTGTCGCTCAGTGTAGAAACTCCTCTAGGCAGTTTGTTCAACAACTTTCCGTTGCAGGAATGCCATTTATGAGGATTACCAAAGACCTATATGCAGACACAAGCATAATTTTTTGTTTAGGATTTATTGCTTTGTTGTGCTTTGTTCGCACCACAAGAGGCAAAACATAAGAAAATTTATGAAAAAAAAAAAACTGATTTCTCCTGACACTATCTCCCCATTATCTGCGAACTGATAACGGATGTGGTTTGCAGCCTCGTGTCTCCATGCAGTACCCTGAGCTGACGGAGGAGGGATTAAAGTTTCTGCGTAGCTCACAATCAGAACAACCTCTATATGCATACCCAGACGCGGCAATGCTCTTGGCAGTGAATGAACCAAGGCCCTTCTCTGATTTCTCTGAGTGGGGGAGGGGCTGGGCCGATCCCGAGATCCGCCGGCAGCGTCTGGCAGGCAAGAAGACCGGGAGAAGAAAGCGGAAGTGGCGCTCCCGATCCCGATCCCGGCAGCAGCAACCGCCCGGCTTCACCACTGCCAAAGAGAGACTGGCCGCGATACTGGCGAAGAAGCGAAAAAGGTGATGTTGCACAAGGTTGGTAGTAGGATTAGATAGTATCACCGTTGCTGTTATCGTCGAAGTTTATATGGTCAGTTAGATTTTATTCTCTCGAAGAATCTATCAGATAGAAGCGAAGTTTTTTTTTTTTGATGAAAATCTGGTTTGTCATTGTGCTTTTACCATATGATGGGTGGGGGAAAAAAGAGAGAAGAAGACCCCATGCTTGATGAGGATAACGAGCACTGTTTCGGCGATCTAATTCAATCTAAATGTGCTATCAGATTATACGAGTACGTACCTCTGGTTCTCTCTAACCGTCTAACGTGAACCGAAAGAATCAGAGGTGCAGATGTTATCATCTGTCTGCTGCTGCTACTACTCGTCGGCCCTGTTCGGCTTGTTGAATCTTAGCTGCTGCGAGAGAAAAACGTTATTTCGGCTGGAAAAATAAACCGAACGTGCATGCTACGGGCTCCATGTCAACAGTGATGCAAGTCTCGTCGGCCCTCGCATCAGGCCTGCTGCTGGATTTCATTCACGCCCATCCGTTTCATTCATGCTTTCCACCTGCTGCTCCTAAGAAGCCCTGCTGAGCGCTGAGTGCTGAGCCAAACCAAACCAAACCAAACGGATGGCGCCTGTGATGTGTCACGCCCTGGCACCGTTCGGTCGGCTGGGGGCTGAATCTGCAACTGGAAGCGTGGTGGATCAGATCAGTGATGCAGTGGCAGTGGGTGGGTGCGTCCGAATTTTTTAGTTTTTAGCCTATTTTTTGAATTTTTTTTACAAATATGTCCTTAAGGTAAGATTTCAAAATCTGGACCTTTAGCTCGACGCTATCGTTACTGGCGCCGAGATCTTGGGCTCAACACAGACGTGATGGTGACTTGGCAGGCAGCTCGACGTCATAGTTCCTGGCGCCGAGCTTAGCACCGTAGATCCTGATGTTGAGGTGGTGTTTTAACCCTGGCCCTAACCTTCCTGGCCGAGCCTTCTTCCTCTTCTTTTTCCTCCCTCTCGGGTTTTGGCCCCGTTCGCTTCGTTGAAAAAACAAGTGAAAGGTCCTTGTTGGTTTTGGTAATTGAGTGACAACCTAGGTGGACTAATTGTGTTTATGTGAGATACATAGGTGATTAGTCCACAGGTACATGTGTATGAGCAACATATGCCATGGAGGTGAAAATGGCTTGGAGATGTTGTAAAGCTCACACATGTGATGATGAAGGAGCTTATTGCACATGAGACATGACATTGAGTCATGTGATCAAGGTGGAGAAGATCAAGACAAGACTTGGCTTGATGGACCGGTTGCAAGCGTGAAGGGCAAGTCAAAGGCTTTGGAGTGATGGACCGCGTGGCGGTGAAGCTTGAGCAAGACTTGGCGCCGATGGACGATAGCAACGGTGAAGAGCAAGTAGAGTCAAGATCGATGAACCAATATGATCATGTGATGATATGAAGTGGATCATATCATTGTTGATCGTGTTGGTGCATGTGTTGCATCGACATTGAAGGAGATGGAATGGAATGCGCAAGGCAAAGGTATAACCTAGGGCATTTCATTTCACCGGTCATAGGTGTGTAGAGAAGTATATGACCGGGTTTAGGATAGATGGCCGTACTATCAAGAGGGACAAACTTGTTTGCATATCGGTCATCTAGTGCCACTCGAGTGATCTAACTTTACATTGTCGCTAGGATCGAGTGGCGTGGCAAGTTGAGTGGCTAACATCCTTTGGGAAATGATTGTGAAAATGCTAACACACATACACATGGTGGTGTACACTTGGTGGTGTTGGCACATTTACAAAGGAGGTGGTGTTTGCAGGGGTGAGATGGGTTTGGGTCCCTCTCTCCCTCCCGCCGAGCTTGCGAGGCGGGATTCGACGCTTTCGGGAAAATAGAATGCCTATTTTCTATTGCGCCGGATGCAAGTTATTGTGGTTAGCACATTGGAGCAAGGGTGATGAAGTTAGAAGTGAAAACGAGTTAGTCGTGAAGATGCTGGCGTCGGTCAACTGACCGGACGCTGGATCTGAATGCACCGGACGCTGGATCTGAATGCACCGGACGCTGGCAGGCTGCGTCCGGTCAGGCTGACGTACGGTGATGCAGAAGCTGGAGTGTGACCGGATCCGGACGCGTCCGGTCGAGGTCGGTACCTTATTGGAAACGACCGGACGCTGGGGGTTCAGCGTCCGGTCAGTTGAAAGCTGCTGCGTCCAGTCAGGTCAAGTGACCGTTGGAATTAGGACACGTGGCCGTCTGCGGGCGACCGGACGCTGAGGTCCAGCGCCCGGTCAACACGACCGGAGCGTCCGGTCGGCCCGACCGTTGCCCAGTGAAGGAGTAACGGCTAGTTTAGCCCTTGGGGCTATAAATAGAAGTGACCCTCGGCCATGGCTGGTGTAGAGCACCTCAAGGGACTTAGTGTCCATACTTGTGAGTGCTTGGGAGCCCTCCATCATACACATACTTGATAGCGATCATCCGATTGTGTGAGTGAGCGATTCTAGTGCGATTGCATCGTGAGGTTGCATCGAGTGGCACTAGCTGATCGAGTTGCGAGCCGGTGATGCTTGTTACTCTTGGAGGTTGCCACCTCCTAGACGGCTTGGTGGTGGTCTCCGTCGAAGCGCGCAAGAAGCTTGTGCGGCGCTCCGGAGAAGTGCTTGTGAGGGGTACTTGTGCTCGCCCCGCGGGAGTCGCGAAGAGCAACTTTAGTAAAGCGTGTCATTGAGCTACCCTCACTCAAGGGATAGGTTCTTGCGGTGCCCGACGTGCGGGCTTAGCGGGTAATGCTAATTAACCGCCGAACCACCAAGTGAGCGGTCGACACAACGGGGACTAGCGTGTTGGCAAACACGTGAACCTCGGGAGAAAAATCATCGTGTCAACCTTGTTCTTCCCGTTGGTTTGCATCCCCATTACACAAGCTTGCAATTACTTATATATATATCTTAAGCTTGTGTAGTTGCTCTTGTAATTAGATAGCTTGTGTAGCTAGCTAATTACCTTCTTGCTTGTGTAGCATAGAAGTAGCTCCCTTGCGTGGCTAATTTGGTTTTAGTAACCTTGTTAGTCACATTGCTTAGTTTGTGTAGCTAAGTATTTGCGCTCTCTAATTAGGCGTTGGTTGCCTTGTTATTGAGCATTGCTAGTGAGCTTAATTAGCTTTGTGCTTTTGCTTACTAGCATGTGTAGGAGCTCCCTTGTTACTTAAAGTACTAGTGGCATAGGTTTGTGTGACCTTGCTCCTAGAATTGTTTAGGAGAGCTCTAGCTAGCCCGGCACCTTAGTTGCTTTATTAGTATCTTTGTAAGGTGCTAGTGAACATATATAGAGGGGTGTAGTCTTGGCTAGACCGATTGTTTTAATTCCGCATTTATATCGGTTAGCCGACGCGATTAATTTTAGAAAAGACTATTCACCCCCCCTCTAGTCCGCCATCTCGACCATTCAACAAGCCGAAACACTGTTCCGACTGATTTGTTGTAAGAGAAAAACACTGTTCCGGCTAAAAAAAGCTGAAAAAGGCAGATTATAAGAGAAGCGAACAGGGCCTTTTTCTCATATGCTAATGACGGATTAATTAGGCTTAATAAATTTGTCTCGCAGTTTACTGACGAATTCTATAATTTGTTTTTTGATTAGTATCCAAACACCCCATACGACATCTTTATATAACATCCAATGTAACGTCACGAAACTTGACACAGTGTGTCTAAACACCACCTTAGACCTAGAGCAATATTTAGACCGAGAGCCGATTCCATACGCAGGATCCACACCGACAGAGAGAAGAGATCATGGTTCCCTAAACTCCTTTTCCCATATTCCATATCAGATTTCTACAGTTTTTCAATCAATAGAACCGGGTTCCATGGGTGAGAAATGCTGGCCTCTACGGTGTAAACCTGGTTCTATAGTAGTAGCATTTATTGCATAGAATCGACTTGGATATGCTCATTGCGGACGCCATAACACGCCAATCTTTTTTTTAAGGTAAGAGTTGGTACATACTCGTATCTGCCCCAAACATAATCACCCGTTTTTACAGATATAGCAGGACTCGAGAGCTACTATTGGCCGGATATGAGCACATCAGCAATTGGTCCAAACAAGGAAAACATGGCAGGGAGATTAGCCGAAAGGAGCAGACACTGTCTACTTAAGACTGGCAGCAGACATGTAACACAACTCAACAACTGAGCATCGATATAACAAATTTGTTCCATCACAATTTGTTTGCAGAACAAATGATCATCGATATATCAGCAAACAAAGTGCAGATCAGATGATGCGAGATTAACCACAGGTCCACAGCCAGTCACAGCATACAATTCTTTCTACAGAGGGTTCACAAAACACTACTTCCTTCCCTTGCCCTTCCTTTTACCCTTTGCAGCACCCCGCTTCTTGTCACCCTTTTTCGCTTTATTCTTGCTCTTGAACGTTCTCTTCTGTGGCTGCTTCTTCACACCTAAACTGTTGTTCTTCTTGGCAAACGAGCTAGGATTCTTGTTGGTGTAGCTCGTCGCCACAGGGCCGACAGTTTTCGGGCTGATGTCATCGTCTTCAGGAGTAATTTCACTGGTGGTGACTATAATTCTGGTCCCATCATCTTCGTAGGTTTTGATTTCTGGAAGCACGATCAATTACCAGAGAATGAGGTTTGACTTCTAGAAACATCATAGTGTGACATGGTAGTTTACAAATTTAGTTCAGGTACTCACCAGACAAAGGTTCGTCATTTTCCATATCCTCACCATCATCACCGTTATCTTCATTTTCTAATCCAGCACCATCATTGTTATCCGATGACAGTACTTTACCATATATAGCAATCTCCTTCTCTTCTTTCCTCTGTAACAAAATAACAGCACTGAGAAAGACCTAATGGCAACAACCAAGTAGTGTGCTCATGTATAATTACTGAAACACAAGCCACCTGAAAATGACATTAAACTGTTCATAGACATCCCTATCACCTTTACATGGATATCTGTAAAATCCTTAGGTAGCATTTGGTTATTAGATTGGGGCTGGAATTGGCTCCAAGTAACTATCCCAACCATTCACTTGCCAACCAAACAAAAGCATTAAATTGGTGCCTCCATTTCAATTTCCACATGGATTTGGTTTTGGGACTTGTTGAATCGGTTCTAACAATATAGCGAACCAAAAATAGTCCAAGCAGCCTACAATGACTGAAATCCTTAGGTAGCATTTGGTGCTTAGATTGGGGGCTGGAACTGGGTCCAAGCAACTATCACAGCCATCCATTTGCCAATCAAACAAAGGCATCGAATCTGTGCCCCATTTCTATTTCCATATGGATTTGTATTTGAGACTTAGTTCAATTCGGTTCTAACAATTTGGACAACCAAACGTGCCCTTTGTGTTGTCTCATCGCCAAAAAGGAGGGGGAAATCAGCTTTAAGAACTGCAGTATGAGCTGCGATCTGCAGACATCTTCCATTGAACTTACCCATCAGTCCATTGGAGTATATATTAGCAGTCCCCTTAGTCACTACTCCCCTAACGATGCATATCAACTGCCAATTACTAGAAGCTTTCTCCATTTCAATATGAACAACATAAGCACACCCTCTTTTGGATTTCTTTCTTCCTATTTTCTCCTAATATTGGACTCGTGAACGTTGGCATAATGGCATACATTACTATCCCAGATGAATAACAATCTCTAGGACAAATAGCAAGTGATTGGAAAGAGAAAAATCAACGGCCAATCATTTTTCGCTAGGACAAATAGACAATTTGTCTTTCATCAATACAAGAACTAGCCACCACTCATTCTAAAATTCTGAACCAAGATATCTTTCATGAACCACATCGTTACAGAATAGAATCTGATATCTTTCATGAACCACATCGTTACAGAATAGAAACTAAACAGCTTCTGTATGTGTGTCAGGGAGAGAAGTGTTTCTTACCCTCTTGCGGTTCTGTATTTTCTTCTTCCTCTCCTTCTCCTGCAGAATCTTCTGCGCCTCTTTTCTTCTCTTCTTCTTCCTCTTGTGGAACCCAGTCACGAAATCCCTGCCAAACCAAGGTCCCGGCCACGAATTCGTCAAATCCCTTGAACCACAGTACCACAGCTATATAATGCGTCGATCGACACAATTCGCAACAAAAATAACCACTATAATCATGTTTTGCAATAGGAATTTCGCGGGCGTGGCCAACGGGGACGAGGCAAGGCAAAGGAGGTAGCCGCACCTGAGCGCTTTCTTGTCGAGCGTAACAGAGAGCGCCTTGTTCTTCAGGGCCCTCTTATTGATATGCTTTGGCACCATCACCGTCGGCATCTGCCCCACCACGACGTCCTCCTCCTCCTCCGAGGCCGCCATCTCATCCCCGTATTCCTCCTCTTCCACCGCCTCCTCCTCCCACACCATGGCTACGGAGTTCGCCCTCTCTCGGCAGGAGGCGCCGCCGCTAGCCGCACCTGCGTGCGTGCGTGCGTGCGTGCTGAGCGAGCGAGCCTACTGCTGCTACGCTGCTGCAGCGGCAGCGACCGTGTCGCTGGTTCTTCAATCAAAGCCAAACGTGACGGTGGCGGCGGCGGCGAGAGGGACAGCAGGCACACAAGGAGGGGAGCGGGGCTGTTGGGCCTGTGCTGTGCGTGTGGGGACGCGGGCCTAGACCCGTCTCATCGAGCGGCTGTAGCGTAGCATGGGCCGGTACGGTTGATGTGTGGTGGGTGTGGGTGTGGGTGTGGGTGAGACCCAACCAGGAACATTTGCATTTCCAAGATCTAGATTAGATTAGATGCTTGGACTAGGAGTAGCCGAGGAGTAGGAGTACGAGTATGCTGGCTGGACTGCTGTTGCTTCCACGTTGTGCTGGCTGGACTGCTGTCTGGATCGTAGAGCTAGCTTCGTCGTGACGGAATCTGATGATTTGGGTTTTGAGCACGGGCGTTTTTAGTTTCGGCTGTTTGCTGTTCTACTAGTTTCTCTTTCGGCTGAGTATTCTTCGAGTGGTAGCCAATTACAGCGAGAGTTTGTGCTCTTGTTTCAGGGTCCCTTTGGATCATCTAGTCTAGAATTAAATTTTAGGTAAGTGTCGTTTGAATATACAGACTACCGTTCGCTTAGAGAAATTGTGGAGGAATTTGGATGGTTTGGAGAAATTTGTGAGAGAAAAACACTGTTTCGGATAAAAAAAAGAAGCGGATCAAGCCGGATTTAAAGGCATGCGAACGGGGCCTAAAAGTGATAGATATACGCCTAATTTCTCTCCATATGCATTAAACCGAAAAATGATTCCGGATCAAGGGTTTATTTGGAACGGGGATTATGGAAACATAGGAAGAGAAGTCTAGGAATCGAGTGCCCTAACTCTTCAATTCTTCGATTCAAGAAAACAATGGAGATGTTCGGTCGATGGTTTCTGCGACTGATAAGCCATCCGAAGTTGATTTGTTGTGAGAGAAAAACATTGTACCATGGCTGATAAGTTCAAACAAACAGGGCGAACAAACTACACAGAAAAACACATAGCAACTTGATGAGAGTGGGTGGCATAAAGAAGACATCCGTTCGACTGGTTCAGCTGCTTCTGTTCGCTTCGCTGAAAAACCAGGCTGAAAAGTAATGTTCGCTGATTTGTTGTGAGAGAAAAACACTGATAAGCCAGGCTGATAGGTTCAAGCGAAGCAACCACTCTAGAGAAATTTCATTTGATTTGTAGAATTGTGAAAATTTTCCTATAGGATTTCAATCCTCTATTTTTTTCCTTTGCTGTAACCGTGTGTTTGGTTGGAAGGACGATGTGGGACGGGATGGGATGAACCCGAGATCAGCGTTGTTTGGTTGGGAGGCGGAGTGGAGCGAGGACGTCCCCGACGCAAATATTCGCGTGAGATGCGGGGCGACCCTGTCCCCCAAAATTTCACAGACGAGGTCCGTCCCAGGTGGAACGAGCGGCTCGTGGAGGTGCCGAACGCGGACGGGGTCGCGGAGAGGAGCTGCGCCGGACACGACGCGGAGAAGAAGAGGAGAGAGGAGCCATGCCGGATATGGAGGAGAAGAGGAGTGTGGGGGGCTTGGCCGGCCGTGAAGCTGCTGGGAGATCCGGTGGTCATTGTTGTCATGTGGGCAAGCACGCAATAGAGATCCGCCCACGCCATTGGCCATGGTGACCTTCGATCTGCTTGGCGTGAGGGGTGGGAAGCGGCGGGTGAGGCTCGCGCCCACCAACGCACAAGGCCATGAGCCTGGGACTCCGAGGAAGACGATGCGTGCGTAGGAAAAAGGAAGGGAAAGGAGGAAGGAAAAAATAAATAAGACGCTGACGGATGGGTCCCACATGCCGTGTGTACGAAGAAGAAAGGATAAGGAAGAAGAAAAGAGAAAAAAAAGAAAAGAAAAAAGAAAAGAAAATCTGATGAATGTGGGCCTATATGTCCACTTTTGAAGTCCGAATCAAACAAAAAACGGGTTGATTCTATCCTTTCACAATCAAACAGAAAATAAACTCATCATATCCCATAAATCAGAGATATAACCATCCCAACCCACCCTACCTTTCAACCAAACGCTACCTAGGTTTGCTCGATCGTACTAGAGGGATTGATTGTACGTCTATCAAACCGCCCTAGCTAGGCTCGTACTCTCATACTGTATATTGCACTTGATTTTGTGCTGGCTGGGTTCCATATTGCGGTGCAGGACTGAAATCATCACCTCTTCTTCTTCGAGCACATCGTTGTCGGTCGCCGATTGGCCTGCTGGAGCCCATTCCACGGCATGCATGTGCGTCCGCACAGTTTTACCCGTTTACTCCCTCCCCCCCAGCTGCCACGCGTCCATCATCCTATCCTACCCTATCCACCCTCATCATTTCTGTATCGTGTAGATAAATATGCCAAATGCAGAAAAAAAGATAATAATTAGTATTATTATCGTTATCATTAATGAAAAAGAAAAGCAGGGGGGGCCGAGCGCAGGCCTGAAAAAGGCGTGGCAGGCCCACCGTGTCAGGCAAAAGCGAGCGACGGGCGGAACCACGCAGAAAAAGGACCATGGATCATCGGCGCCCGGGCAGTGACGTCACCCCGGGGGAGAGGGGCGTTTCCGTAATCTCGTCGCCCCAGCCCAAATCATTTGGTCAATCGGATCGGACGCCGGGGCCCACTCTCGTCTCGCCCCTATCATGCATGCGCGCTGCGGCCCCTGCCCTTTTCCCGTTTCCTGATTGTATATTTACTTCAAAATCATTATATTATTATTATCTTATTTGTAGTGTGTTTTCCATCGTCTGAAAATATACACATGTTGGTAACGATAGTTTCTATAAATTTAGTCATGTTTAAAACAGTTTGACCTTGATTGAATCCGGAATTTTCTCTCTTTTTAGACGAGATCAGTATTATATTAGTAAATGGTAAATGGTGGGCATCAACGAGGTGATGCAGCATCCAGACGCAGTGCTGCTGCCTTGTAGCCTTTTGCCGGCCAAAGAATCAAGAGTGTGTGTGAGAGAGAAGGGGCTATGAAAAGAGGAGATTGCAGCAGGGCCGGGCTGCTGGTATCACCATCTTCTCAGTGATGAGTTGAGTGAGGACCATCTTTCCATAGCAATCGTCTGCCCTAGGCCCTAGGGTTCCTGCTTTTAGGTATCGTCGTAGTAAGAAATTTGTATAGGAAGCAAGCCATGGCTTTGCACAGCATCATCCACTGGGAGGTTTGGAATGAGAGGAATCGAACTTTTTTTTTTAGGGTTAGAGTTGGATGAATCGTCATCTATAAATTTTTAAGATCAACAGGGAATGGTACGGTAGTCCACATTCAGAACATAACTCGCTGTGAAAAATAAGGACGAAGACAAAACTTGAGCGCTAGCGCTCTAAAGACCGTACACATATATGGGCCTGTTTGATCCACACAGCTAACTATTAGTTGTCGTTAACTTCGTGGTAGGTAAGACATTAACTAACTAATTGCGTAAGAACGTAGACAGATTCTAGGCCTATTTTTAGCAGCTAATTAACTATTAGCTGCAAAGGTTCAAATAGACTCGTACACACATAGACATAGACTGATTTGGATTTCTTCCGGAAGGATGAACCCATGATTTTCAACCCGGTTCTATTCTACTCTACGCACGGGTTGTTATTACTTGTTAGACAAAAGTGGGTTGGTCTGATCTGAATATCTGATCTCTTTGCAGAAGTGGCAACTGCTCACCGTTGCACACACAGCCGGGACCGGGCGACCAGTCGTCGTCTCCAATCCAAAGAGGGAGGAGACACTGTACTGTGCTCTCTGGAACTGGGAGGAGGACCATTTGTGTTGTGGTCGGGCCTAACGGTGACGCACAGAAACAGCAGCAGCCTCTGCTAACTACTGTAACTGTAGTTGCAATAAGCTCACCCATCCATATAAACTATAAAGGTCAAGTATAGGAGCACCACAGACTGACATGGCCTAACTTTACAGTGTTTGCTTATAGTATTGCATGCAGTATGTATGTTAATGTGTTAGTATCATTTCATCTGGTAGCTTCGATCCTTTTTATTTTTGGTTACATTCGCTTCGCTCACAAGCTATGGTTGAAAGTACTGTTCTTTAATTTGTCGTGAGAGAAAAACATTGTTCCTTTCGCTGAAACACTATGGCTCATAAGACAAGCGAACATAGCTTTTGTCTAAAAGAGTAATACTAGTTCGTTACTGCATATGAAGAGTACGGCCTACATTAGTTACGGGTTCAATACATGCGTGGAGCCACGATATTTGTGTAATTAATACTGCTAGTGGTTTGTTTAAGGTTTTTATCGGTTAATATTTTAACTTTGTTTGTAAGCACATAAAAAGATCGTGTAGACCGATGATGCAATATATATATATATATATATATATATATATATATATATATATATATATATATATATATATATATATATAGCTATATTCATTATGAAACAGAGAGTAGCATTTATATTTAATTATATTTGTTTCCATCATGCTAATACACTAGCAGACGTCGTCATGCCCACTCCAGCAGCAGGAGCCGCAACACATGAATAACATTGACGACTCGTTCTGATTACATGCAGTGGCAGATCTAGAATTAATCATATGTTAGGAGGGGCTTCTCTTTCTTATTTTTTATATCTAGCGTCTCTTTGTAAGCTTCAGTGACTACAAACTTGTAACAGGGGCTCCATACATCCAGCGGCGGTAGCAAGAGCTCGAGCCCCACTGACCTGGTGGTAGATCCGCCTCCTGATTACACACTTACATATGCTGCCTTTGTGTTAAAACCGTCAAACTTTTTTTTAAAAGAAACTTTGGTTGTAAATACATCAAAAGGTTACATATATACCAGCTATGTAAGATGCCCCATATTTGAAGAGTCAGAGCCCTATTTAGAGGGGTTCTTTCGGACTT